TAAAACTATTTATATTGAATTTCTCTCCTCCTAAATCCATTACATCTCGCTTACGTTTCCTTCAAACACGAATTACTCCCATTAATTGATAAAAGAGTGATAAAAGAGGAGCAGGTCCGTAGGTACTAAATGACAAATAACACTTTTTTCGCATAGGGATGTGGATGATATCTATTAAATCTTAGATAACATAAACATAGAGAAATGCAAGTTGTCGGCATCTTTCATTTGACAAGGAGATAAGGAAGGAATAATGCATTTTAGTTTAGTATTTTGTATGTATAGTCCCAATGCTACTCACATGGAAAGAGGATTCTAGATCAAAACCTAAATTTAATAATAATATGGGCCCAATCTACCTAACAGCACATATAATCAGCAAAGGAAAGATCACAATTTCATCTGGCGGGATGATGAGAAGGAAATCTTTTAGGATCGATTTTTATATTAATAAAACTTTGATATTGTAGTGTTACCCAGAAAGAGAGAGGAGAGGTGAGGTGGGGTGGGGTGGGGTGGGGTGGTGGAGGAGAGTTGAATTTGAAACATAAACTTTGTCCATCTGTGAGTAATTTAACAAATGGTTAGCACCTTGTTGTCGAGAAATGCGTAGTTTGTATGAGAAAAAAATAATTAAAAAAGTAAAGAATGAGAGATGAAGTGGTAGGCTGCAATGTATTTTTGAGAGGAGGTGGGGACTGGGCTGGGATATCCCATGTCGGGTAACTTTGGGTGTATGAGTGTGTTTATAAGTCTCTATTTAGCTCTTATTCTGTTAGAGTAAGTGTGAATCAACAAAAGAAAAAAATATATATTTTTGAGACAATTTTTGTATTTTGGGTTCTTTGGAAGCTAGTATACCTAATTAGACTTATTTGACAAAAAGTATATAAAACAAAAATATGAGTTAAAAAGACATAAATACCCATTTTAGGGTCATTTAATTCAAAATTTCTTATTTTTAATGCACCTTGATTCACGTGTGTTTGTTAATACATATAAATACGTATTTAATGCACATTTGATTCATGTGTATTTGTTAATACATGTATACTTATTTATATACATGTATAAACAAATATATATATAGTATATTTGTTTATATACACGTATATATATATATATATATATTTATTTATTGTTAAATCTCTATTTAAATTTTAAATTATCTTTAATGCACTTTTATGCATGCGTATTTTTTTTTTTGAAAAGTGATTTTATTTTTAAATTATATTTAATGCACCTTGATTTAAGCATTTTTTTTTTTGGAAAATAGTTTTATTTTCAAATTAATTTAATATCTAAATATGTAATAGTACAATAATAACAATGTAACAAAAATAGTGTTCAATAATTTTGTGTATATAGTAACAAATTCAAAACGGAGATGAACTATTTTGAATAAAATTATATGTTTGATAAAATATAATAGTATAATATTTTGTGTAAATAGATTGTTACACTATTATTGTTATACTGTTACATTGTTAGTGTTACACTGTTACACTTTTATTGTTATACTTTATATTGTTATACTATTACATTATTCGGATATTAAATTAATTTGAAAATAAAACTACTTTTTTAAAAAAAATGCATGAATCAAGGTGCATTAAAAGATAATTCAAAATTTAGATAAGAGATTTAACAACAAGTATATACATGTATACATAAATATATATATAAAATATGTATTTATGTATATATAAAAACGTGTTTATATAAGATATTTAATGCACCACTTTCCAAATAAAAGTGGTGCATTAAATACACATGGATTAATGAAGGGCAAAAATATCACAATAAAATAGATAAATTTCAATTATGTATTTGGATACAAATAAATAGCCTTACATTTTTTAGTGTGTACTTTTTGTTAAATAAATTTAATTTATTGTACCTTCTTACAATTTACCCTTGTATTTTTTAATGTTAACATGAATCTGGCCCATGACCGATCATGGGCCTTTGTCGGGTGGCCCAGATAACCCCACTCACATGCTGGCCCATTAAAGTGTCCCTGAAGGACAAGTGCTCTTTCTCCAATTGGCCCGGCATAATTGGGACAAGCTATGTGGCTGTGCCATCTCTTTTATTTATTGGGCTGGCCTATCGTCCATTGAGTAAATAGCAATTTGGCCAATGTAGCATAATGGGCCTTTGTCAGGTGGCCCATAAGATTAAATTATTGGATTTATCCCTGTTTATTGATGATGTAGAACAGTGTATAGTTAGCTTAGGGAATCCAACAAATTGGTCCATGTTTTGGCCCAATAACAAATTACAATTTGAATGCTTGGGCCTGTTTAGATGTCTCTACTTCATGTAGACTAGATAATCTTTTTATTCTCTCTCTCTGTAGTAAAAGCTAGAAGAATTTCCAAAAATTTCATTCCAAGGACTGTGATATTAACTACACTCCGCTAACTTGGAATCAATTTAGTTTTAGTGAGTTTAAATTATGATTAAGTTAACATATCAAATACTCTCAATTAATACATCATGACAAAAGCTCGATTATACATTTTTATAACAAATGGACACTGGAAAATTTAGATAGAATATAAAAATGTCAATGTGCATGTGTGTGACGACCAAAACAACATTACATTCAAAACCCTAATTCGATATTATTCTTTTTAATTATACGTTGTTGGTATGCAAAAATACAATGAATAATAAGTATTATAACTTTAAATAATGTATATAAATTTCTCATTAATACTTTAATTTTGACGTGGATAATCTGTCTTTGATTGAACTGAAAAATGAATTTGTAGAGATGTGTATAAATTAGTCCAAACACTCTTGACTGTTAAAAAAAAAAGTCATAAATAAACTTAGGGGTGTTCACCTTACCCTACGGGTAGAAAATATGCTCTTCTGTTTTCTTATCCGATATTTTGTGGAAGAATTTTTTCTTGGTCTACCCTACCCGACAAGTGTAGTATTCCTTACCCGACTTCCTACCCAATTAATCGGGTAGGAAGTCGGGTAAACATTTTTGTAACAATTAATTTTTGGATCATTTTAACAATTTAATTAAATAACATGCACCAATTTAACAACACAAAAAATCAATTAACACTAAAATCTAAAACAACTACAACAACAATTATAATAAAATACAAAAAAGTATGAATATCAATCCACCATAATTGTTACACAAATACAATAATAATTAATTTAAATTTAAATTTTAAACCATATGAAATACATTAAAATCATAATTGCTCCGCTAGGGTTTAGGGAATTTTTTAGTTTTTATATATATATATTAAAAAATTATTGTGAGTAGGGTAGGGTAAGAATGCGAAAATAGATGTCTATTTCGCATTCCTATCCGATTTTTGCGGCTAGCCATTCAGTAGAGTAGGATAAGGACTTGCGGCCGGTCGAAAATTTGATCACCCCTGAGTGAACTAAATGTGACTAAGAGCATCTTCAACCACGATTTAAATTTAAACTTAAAATTTGAGTAAAAAACTTGATTTGGTATAGAGTGCTTTAATTGACAAACTCAAATATCTACTTAAATCTTTTAAAAAATTCTTTTATTGTCCCCAAATTTTTTTTTTGTGTAATTCAAATCATGATACTTGATAAAAATGAATAAAACTTTCATATTTCTCTACAAATGGGTAATTAAAAAAAATGAATATGTAATAAAACACTATATGGTATAAAGACACCACCCCCAAAATTCTAAGATTGTTCTACTCATTTATCATTTTTTATAAATTCAAATAAAGAAAAAAAAAATATAACTATTTTGACATAAATCTCGTTTGAAGAGTAGAAAAACATAGTTTTTAATAAAAATGAAAGAATTAAGAAATAAAATGATAAATTTTTTAAATTTGTACGTAGAAAGGGTTTAAGATTTTAAGAAGAATCAGTGGCATAAAATTATACTACCGATAGTTTTTAACTTAAAAAATTAAAAAAAAAATTGATGGGGTATACTTAAGATTTGTATAATATGAAAGATGAGTGAAATTAGGATTTTGAAAAATATAAAATATCAAGAAGATGAAAGATGAAAATAAAAAAATTTACTTACAAGCTTTCAAATGTTTTTGTGAAAACTTTGGTGGTGATCGATGATGGAAAGCAGTGTAGTAGAGAGAGGCAAGAAATGATAGATGTTTTTTGGTTTTGAATAGGTTAAAAAAGTTACTGTTAAAAATTTGGTATAAAATTTGAGTCTGTTTTAATTTGGGTCCAGAATAAGTTTTGTCTTAATTTAGTATAGGTTTGAGTCTAACGTTGGAGAAGTTTTTTGAACTATTTTGATTCAAATTTAAATTTAAGTTTATATTTGAGTCAAGATTGGAAATGTTTACTAGGCTAAGTTTAATGATCAATTGTTGCAAATAAAAAAAAAAACAATTAACAGATTATTACCATGGTGAAAACTCTCCAAAAATACTTTATAAAAAACATCTATGGTATCACTACCGTCAATTTAAAAGGAAAATATCTAACGGCCAATATTTATGGCCGTAAAATGGATGTAAATTTATATTTACTTAGTATTTATATAATAAAACACATAAGAGTTTAAAAATTTATCACTTATATATTTTTTTTCTTAAAAATATCACATAATCTAATTTAATCTCATGTTCAATTATTTAATATTTGATTAATTTATAATTTAACACAATTTTTATTTCATATATTATCGATACATGATAATATGCACGTGCTAAAATTTTTTACCAAATTATACATTTTGAAAAAAATTAGATGCTATTTTTAAAAAATAATAAGTAAAAGTAATTTTAAATAATGTAATATAATAAACAAAAAAAAATTATTTAATATAATAATATCAATTTTTTAAACCCAAATTATGACTAATAAATAAATACTTTAGCCATCACTCACAGCGATTTACCAAGAAAATATTTCATTCTCTCTCTCTCCTCTCTCTAATTTATCGCTGGCACTCGGAGACGAGACCAGATCTGTGAGAGAAGTTAAAAAACCCTCGTTCTCTCTCTCTCTCTCTCTCTCTGTCTCTATCTATTGTACAACTATCGATCTACAAGCTTGTAGATTTCTTCCCCCCTTCATTCTTTCTATTTGTTGCTGTTGGCGATTGCGCATGCGTATTATATTCAATCTGATCTATCATTCTACTTATCAGATCTGAGGTACGAGCAGATTTCTCGATATATTTTGATTAATTCTATTGCTTTGAATTTTGTAGATCTGTGATTGATTCATCTTATTAGGCTTCCGTTTAGTAGTTATTATGATAATTCCTGGAACTTAAAATTGGAATTCATATTTCTGTTGATCAGGTGTAATCTTTATGTGTTTAGGATAAGATTATCCATTCTGGAGCGTTTGTGTATTTGATGGCGTTTGGATTGTGTGCAGAGAGTGGGATTTGTGTGTTGTATTGATTGGAGAAAATGTTGACAAAGTTCGAGACGAAGAGTAATAGGGTCAAGGGACTGAGTTTCCACACTAAGAGACCGTGGATCCTCGCCAGTCTTCACAGTGGTGTGATCCAGCTATGGGATTACCGGATGGGGACACTCATAGACAAATTCGATGAGCATGATGGGCCTGTTCGTGGCGTTCATTTTCACAATTCTCAGCCGCTATTTGTATCTGGAGGTATTGAATTATGGCTATATATACATATTTGTTTTGTCTATTACTTTGCATCTACTTCCCAGAGTTGATTGCCGTTTTGGTTGTATAGTATTCCATTTGCTATAGTTGGACAGTGTTCAGTTGAAATTACATGATTGTAACTTATCAATTTCAAAATATATCTCTTTATATCAGTTGTTCCTGATGTTTGATAGATCTAGATGAGGATCAAGTTAGGTGATCCTCTTCACTATTGATTCTCCCAGATAATCAGACCTACTTTGTAGATTTTGTACGTGGATTAGAATTGGGCAGTTATTAAATCCATTTGGGTTTGAGCTAATTTGTAAAGTTCTAATTTTTTCAGTATGAGATGTTGATTTGGTAAAATTCGTATAGATTTTTTCCTGAAGCAGCTATAAATATAAAAAGGCTTGTTAGTGGAATGAATGCATTGAAAGCTGTGTACTTTTGTTATGGGGCTAGTGTAATTTCTGTTATTCAAGCTGTGTTGAATTTTCAATTCCTTGTTGGAATTCAAAATATTGGTGGACAGTATATTTGATTTATTTGTTAACTTTATGGAGCGTTCTGGTTGCTCTACGTGTTCTTCTTCAATATTGTGGCTTATACAGGTGATGATTACAAGATTAAGGTTTGGAACTACAAGTTGCATAGGTGCCTGTTTACTCTCCTTGGACACCTGGATTACATCCGCACAGTGCAGTTTCACCACGAATATCCTTGGATAGTGAGTTCGAGTGATGATCAGACCATCAGAATCTGGAACTGGCAGTCACGCACTTGTATTTCTGTCCTGACTGGCCACAATCATTATGTAATGTGTGCATCATTCCATCCTAAAGAAGACCTTGTTGCATCGGCATCTCTGGATCAGACAGTTCGTGTTTGGGATATTGGTGCCCTGAGGAAGAAGACGGTGTCCCCTGCTGATGACATTCTGCGTTTGAGTCAGATGAACACTGATCTTTTTGGTGGGGTTGATGCTGTTGTTAAGTATGTATTGGAAGGTCATGACCGTGGAGTCAACTGGGCCGCATTTCATCCTACCTTGCCTCTAATTGTCTCGGGTGCTGATGACCGTCAAGTGAAACTTTGGCGGATGAATGGTAAGTTACTAAATGATTTTGCTTTTCTTTGTTCCAATTTTCCATTGAGTAGTTTAAATTGTGGCTCATGAATGGTAAGTTACTAAATGATTTTGCTTTTCTTTGTTCCAATTTTCCATTAAGTGGTTTAATTTGTGGCTCTCGGCTGACCATGTCTAAATGTTGTATATATCAATGATACCCATTGATCCAACTGGTATTTGTGTTTTTTGAAAGATGCTCAAATGAGATATTTGGTAATCTTAAAATGTATGCTATTTGCTTGAAATTTTCTGGCCAAGGGCTGTTTTACGTTTCCATTGAGATGGCCAAAATATTCAAAACCTCGATTTTCCCTTGCTCCTGTGAAATATTTGGTACTCATCTGAATAATCTCAGTTATTGAGGCAATTACTCTTTTTTGCCCAGACACGAAGGCTTGGGAAGTGGACACATTAAGGGGGCACATGAATAATGTATCATGTGTTATGTTTCATGCCAAGCAGGATATTATTGTTTCCAACTCGGAGGACAAGAGCATTCGTGTTTGGGATGTAACAAAGCGAACTGGAGTCCAAACTTTCCGTCGTGAGCATGATAGATTCTGGATTCTTGCATCTCATCCTGAGATGAATCTGCTGGCAGCTGGTCATGATAGTGGTGTGATTGTTTTTAAGTTGGAGAGAGAAAGGCCTGCTTTCTCACTTAGTGGTGATTCTATGTTCTATGCTAAGGATCGGTTTTTGCGGTATTATGAGTTTTCAACTCAGAGGGACACACAAGTGATTCCAATTCGGCGCCCGGGATCTACCAGCCTAAATCAAGGGCCAAAAACTCTTTCGTATAGTCCTACAGAAAATGCTGTTCTTATATGTTCTGATATCGATGGTGGATCTTATGAGCTCTATGTCATACCAAAGGATAGCATTAGTAAGGGTGATACTGTGCCAGAGGCAAGAAGAGGCATGGGAGGATCAGCTGTTTTTGTGGCTCGAAATCGTTTTGCTGTGCTTGACAAAAGCAGCAACCAAGTTTTAGTGAAGAACCTCAAGAATGAGATTGTTAAGAAGAGTGGCCTTCCTATTGCTGCTGATGCTATTTTCTATGCAGGAACAGGTAACCTGCTTTGTAGGGCAGAGGATAGAGTGGTTATATTTGACCTCCAGCAAAGGATGGTTTTAGGTGATCTTCAAACCCCTTTCGTCAAGTATATTGTCTGGTCCAATGACATGGAGAGCATAGCCTTGCTCAGCAAGCATGCAATTGTTATTGCTAGTAAGAAGCTGGTGCATCAGTGCACCCTTCACGAAACGATTCGTGTAAAGAGCGGAGCCTGGGATGACAATGGAGTTTTTATCTATACAACGATGAATCACATCAAGTACTGCCTACCCAACGGAGATAGTGGAATAATAAGGACCCTTGATGTGCCAGTATACATAACAAAAGTGTCAGGAAATAAGATTTTTTGCTTGGATCGAGATGGTAAGAACAGGGTGATTGTTATTGATGCAACAGAATACATTTTCAAGCTGTCATTAATTAAGAAGAAATATGACCATGTTATGAACATGATAAGGAACTCACAGCTCTGTGGGCAGGCAATGATTGCTTATCTGCAGCAGAAGGGATTCCCTGAAGTTGCTCTTCACTTTGTGAAAGATGAGAGAACTCGTTTCAATCTGGCTCTAGAAAGCGGCAACATTCAAATTGCGGTTGCTTCGGCTAAGGAAATTGATGAGAAGGATCATTGGTATAGGTTGGGAGTTGAGGCTCTTCGCCAAGGTAATGCTGGAATTGTAGAGTATGCCTACCAGAGGACAAAGAATTTTGAGAGGTTATCTTTCCTATATCTCATAACTGGAAATGTGGAAAAGCTGTCCAAAATGCTTAAAATTGCTGAAGTCAAGAATGATGTTATGGGCCAGTTTCATAATGCTCTTTATTTGGGTGATGTTCCAGAGCGTATTAAGATTTTGGAGAATGCTGGGCATTTGCCACTTGCTTATATCACTGCTTCAGTCCATGGGCTGCAGGATGTTGCTGAACGGCTTGCAGCAGAGTTGGGAGATAATGTTCCCATCTTGCCGGAGAGAAAGTTACCCTCCCTTTTGATGCCTCCAGTGCCTGTTTTGTGTGGTGGAGATTGGCCCCTCTTGAGAGTCACAAGAGGCATTTTTGAGGGTGGGCTGGATAATATTGGCAGGGGTGCCGCCGACGAAGAGGATGAGACTGCTGATGCTGATTGGGGTGAAGAATTGGATATGGCTGATGTGGATGCCTTACAAAATGGTGATATCGGGGCAGTTTTGGAGGGTGGGGAAGTTCCTGAAGAAAACGAGGAAGAGGGAGGATGGGACCTGGAGGATTTGGAACTTCCTCCTGAGGCAGATACTCCAAAGGTTTCTGCCAACTCCCGCTCATCTGTCTTTGTGGCCCCAACTCCTGGCATGCCCGTTAGCCAAATTTGGACTCAGAGATCTTCTCTTGCTGCTGAACATGCGGCAGCTGGCAATTTTGAAACTGCGATGCGGTTGTTGAACCGGCAACTTGGAATAAAAAACTTTGCTCCTCTGAGATCCATGTTTCTTGATCTTTACACTGGCAGCCACACGTATCTACGCGCATTTTCATCTGCTCCTGTGCTATCAATGGCAGTTGAACGGGGATGGAGTGACTCTGCTAGCCCTAATGTGAGGGGCCCACCAGCACTTGTTTTCAATTTCTCTCAGTTGGAAGAGAAATTGAAGGCAGGTTATAAAGCTACAACTACTGGAAAATTCACTGAGGCTCTTCGGCTGTTCCTCTCTATTCTCCATACTATTCCTTTGATTGTGGTTGAGTCAAGAAGGGAGGTTGATGAAGTCAAGGAATTGGTCATTATAGTTAAAGAATACGTTTTGGGTCTTCAGATGGAGCTCAAGAGAAGGGAACTTAAGGATGATCCAGTACGCCAGCAGGAGCTTGCAGCTTATTTTACTCATTGCAATCTTCAACTGCCTCACTTGAGGCTAGCACTGTTAAACGCGATGACTGTATGTTACAAGGCCAAAAACCTTAGTACAGCTGCAAATTTTGCCAGGCGGCTCCTGGAAACCAACCCTACCATTGAGAACCAAGCAAAGACGGCAAGACAAGTGTTGCAGGCTGCTGAGAAGAATATGAGAGATGCGTCTCAGCTGAACTATGATTTCAGAAATCCATTTGTGGTATGTGGGGCAACATATGTTCCCATCTATCGTGGGCAGAAAGATGCTTCATGTTCATATTGCAGCTCCCGTTTTGTGCCAAGCCAGGAAGGGCAGCTCTGTACTGTTTGCGACCTTGCAGTAGTCGGGGCAGATGCTTCAGGTTTGCTTTGTTCGCCTTCCCAGATAAGATGATGATTGAGCAGTTGAACCAGGAACATTTATATTCGTCCTTTTGACAGCGGCAGCGTTCATGTTGGTCCATTCATCACTGCAGGCAAAGGTAAGGATATTGAACAAGAATTAAGTGCCCACTGAGTTGTTTGTGCCGCCATGTCTTCCCCCTTTTGGCTCTCATCCTTCCTTTCCCTTTATTATAGTTGATTATGAGTTTCAATGTAATAAACAACTTGAAAATTTTGACCTTGGCTGTTCTCGTTAGTTGTTCATAGACAAGAATGGCCAAGGGCTCTTGTTGTTATATTTAGATGGTGGTCATAGGTAAGAAGGCTTATATGTTGGTTTATGCAGAAGCCAGTTGGCAAATTTGTTATTTTCTTGGATGAAATTGTGGTTTTTATTGGTTGGCAGTATCCAAGAATTGTTACCCCTAGTAGTTGTCAGGTATTTGATATTCGGAAATTTATGATGTACCTTTGGCATCATTTGCATACTTTTTTTGGCAATTTTATTGCATTAAAGATGCATTTGTCCTACGTTTGGTTGCTCTTAGTAGTAATGTTTCATTTGATGTCTACTGCTATATGAGCTGCTTTAGGATGAACATGAAAGATTACTTGCCAGCTACCTATATTATTTTGCTCAATCAGATTCAGACGTGAAATCATGGCTTGGTGGCTGAACCTTGTACAGTTGGGATGACAAAGCATACCTTAATAAAATAGACTAGGAACAGCTTCTGCCATATCACCCAATAAGGCTTGGGCCAAGTCGATTCATTTGGTATTCTGCTGTGTGTTTGGATAGGTTGGCAGGGTGTGAAAAGTGATTTTTTTCTTTTTGTTGCGTGTGTGTGTGTGACTTACGAAAGATTAGATTTATTTTAAGGTCTTTTTTCCTGTGGGGTGGCGGCGTGTTATACTGAGATCTGGACATCGATTCGACGAGGTGGTTGCGCAAGACTCTGTTAAGAGCCCCCAAAGGCCCTCATTGCAATGAAATTTTTTGTGAACAGTGAATTTTTGGAATTGGTTCACCCTCGGAAGATGTTACTAGGAAAGAAAATTTTTGTTTCCTTTCCTAAGAGATGTAGGCACCAAGTAACTCAAAAAAATTTTAGCACTGGTCATGCAAAATAAATATTTTTAAACAGTATTTTATTTTTTTTAGTTACACAATTCAAAATCAATTTAAAAACACTATTTTCTAAAAAATTTTGACAAAACTTTTCTAAAAGCACGATTCTCCTAAAAAATATCAACATGGAAATAGTTTATATATTTAATTATTATTCATATATATATATATATGTGCTGATAACATTTAGAATTGATCTTAAAATATTAAAAACAAAATATAACTTAATCTTATAACTTTGACACAATATATTCTTTTGATATCCTAATCTTATTTCTATACATAAATAATCTAATTTTGACATAATATATTCTTTCGATATTATAATCTTATTTTTTTATACATGAATAATATAATGTATATGAATATGATGCCGTATTAGGAATCATACCGATATTAATTGTAGCCATAGATTTTGAGTTGAATGATTTTTAAATATTGATTCAAAAAATAAAGTAGTAAAAACTCACTCGTGTCATATTTCAATAAAATAAAAAATAAAGATATTATATCAAAAATATTATTTTTAGTATCGTAATTAATCTCTATTGTAAGAATAGTAAGCAAGATAGATATCTTGAATATATGTGTGTATATAACTGGTGCTAAAATTAGAAAATTTTAGATCAGATTTCACTTATTTTTATTCTTCAAACTTGTGCCGTTACCTTGGCCGTTAGTTACCGTCTACCGGATAAAGATTCAATCTTAGAACGTCTCACTTTCCGGTTCATCATTGTTATTAGTTGAACTAGGCTTAAATATAAACTTTTAAAAAGAGTAATTAAGCAGTTCTTATGCTTATTTATTTTAAGGGAAAATTTTAATTACATCCCTTTTATTTTATTATATCTTCAAAGATTTTCCTTAATTATTCAAAACATCACTACATCTATTTTAGTTTATATTTAAATATCACTGACACCTCTTATTATTAAACCACAATTTCAAACAAAAAAAAATCATCTAAAATACTAAAATTGTCTATACATAAATCTTAAACAATTTTTTTTATATAAAATTCGATTAAAATTCAAGTAGATTAAAATTTATTTTAGTCTATTAAAATTTAATTCGAACTGATTAAATTTTTTTTTTTAAGTATTAAAATTTTTTTTTTTTACGTATTAAAATTCGAGCTGATTTGAACTCTACTTGAACTGTTGGCGCCGATTAAAATTTATTTTGAGTCTATTAAAATTTATATTTTTTACTTATAAAAATTCATGTCAATTAAAATAAGAGTTGATTGAAATTTGATTCCAGTTAATTAAAAATGAATTTTAATTGACTCAAATTTTATACTTAAAAAAATATAATTTTTCATCAAATCGAATTTTAATACATAAAAAAAAAATTTTAATTAGTTCGAATAGAATTTTAATAATATGTAAAAAAAAATAAAATACACAGGATCTCGTTAAAGATATGACTATCTAGAGAGGGTGTGAATATAATTTTTTATAAAATATATCATGTAAAATTTAATAAAATTACATTATAGTTAACACCTTTGATCAACAAAAGACGCCGGTGAAGATTCAAAAATTACAGAAAGTGTCTTTTGATAATATATTAAATTAGGAGGACCGGGACTGAATTTGTTTTTATTTTAATATTTTACCAATAAATTTTCAAGTTGGGAAACGTGGACCAATAAGATCTCCGAAAAGCCACGAGAAACTCTAACCCCGTGACTTGACGAACAAGAAGGCCACGTTAGGCCGTGGGTAGAAAAAACGCCAAAATAAAACTGAAAAGCGAAAACCAATTTCGATAATTCAAGTAGTTGAGAGAGAGAGAGAGAGAGAGAGAGAGAGAGAGAGAGAGGTGAAAATGGAAGACAACAGATCAAGGGCAAATCTGATCGGTGCCTTCGAAGCCATAGAAGGCGATGTCGGGGACTTATCTTCATGGGAATTCATCAACGCCTCCGACGATGATGAGGAAGATCGATTTTCTTACAGTTCAGAAGACCTCGAAGTCGAAGAGTCGAAAGACCCAATTCCGTTTGGATCTCCATCTTCTGACATCTCCATGGAATCTTTGTCTGATCAACTCCAACACTGCCATCAAATCACCAAGGCTCTTGATGTTGATGATGATGCGGTGATTGATGAATCCAATGGCGGTGAATGCTTTGATGAAGATGAGGATGGGGATGAGGATGACGATGGGTTTGATGGGGATGAGTATGATGAGTATGACGATGAGTTGGTGCCTAGGTGGGCCAGTGATAAGTTTGGGAAGCAAAGGATGAAAAAATTGGGGAAGAGGGTGAATCCGAAGATGAACAATTCCAGAAAGGTGCCTTGTTATTACTACAATAGGGTCTGGGCTTGAAGTACAGACTCATCTAGCAGAAAGGTGAGATAATCGGAAACTTGTGGTCTTTGCATGATGATTTGGTAATTGGAATTAAAGAATTCTGATCTTGATCGGTATATATGTAGGACTAGTTGGATTAGGAATTTCATTTCATCTTCAAGATCTTGTCTATTAAGATTTTGGGGTTTGTTTAGATGAATTTATGTTTTCCTTTGAAAAATATTTAAGATAAGATCTTAAATGGCTATGTGAATATGGTCTTAGTAAAAAGTCATTTTCATTTCATACTTTTCTTGGGGGAACCATGATTGCATTATCGAATCGTTCTTGCCTTGTTCGGAGGGCAATGGCTAAAAAATCTTTTTATTCATTGTCTTATTTTCGTATTCCTCTCATACAAGTTGATGGATTGAAATATTTTATCGTGGATGATCTATTTTTCCATTATATAAATGAAAATTTGCTCATCGAAGGGAATTCTTACAAATTTTCTTTGCCATGAGTAGAGAAAGGAAGCTGACATTAGATGGTATACGGAATGACTTTCTTTAGGGCCTCTTATATACTCAAAATAGGAGAGACAGGGAGAGAAATTTTTGAGTTGGGTTTGCCATAGAAAATGTTAAATATCATTGTTGGGTGCTGGGTAAAGTACAGGGGAAGCATGTTGAACTGGATAAAAACTTAGATGGAACTATGTGATTGAAACTTGGTTGATTAATCCTTTTTTTTGCTGACTTGCAGCTTCAAAATTGTAGTGAACTTAAGATCATATGCAGTATAGTTAGCGTTGTATGAATTTTTGGTTAGACCAAACTGCTAATGATGCCAGCATGAAACATTTATCATGTCGGTGTTAATCAATTAGAGGGGAATACTATGAAGATGAGGGTTTTATTTTTTTGTCTCTTGATGAAGGCTGATCTCTAGATGGTGAGCTTGCAGTATGGGTATGAAATTATGTGCTCAGAGAGCAAAGAAAGATGATGATTGTGTCTCTATGATAGGCTTGATTTTGTCAATGGAATGGATGGCCCTGTTCTGGATCACAAGAATTTGAGAGTTGATTGAAATTTACAATTGAATGGTGCTTTGGTTGAGAATCCTTTGCAGTGATTTTGTTGTAATTGGTTGGAGTATACTCTCTTTACCTATGAGGAGATTTCAACTTTTTGGTTTGTCTGTTGGGGAATGGGTTTAGAGGGCTGGTTGGGGGAGGGAAGAAACTTCAGAGCTTGGAAAAGGTAGTCTTGTACCAACTCGGGGAACCTATCTAATAATCTCTATAATAATATTATGCAGAGGAGTGTGTGATGTATACCTACAAATATTCATATGGGTGCACAAGGGTAGTTCTGAAATGTATATCTACATGTATTCATTTGATGGGTGCACGTGTGGTTGTGAACATAAAGGCTTCATTGGATGAATGTAACCGCTGCTGCAACATAACAAGGAAGGGATATGCAAAATGGTAGTTTATTAGTGACCTCTATTTTGTCTAATCTTTCGGCACTCCATTGTGGTTAATCTTGATATTTGATCTTTGCCTTTCTTACTTCTGTGATGTGTTGGATCTGTCTGTTATAGAGTACTGCCTGAAGATCCACAAGCAAAGTACCTTTACCTCTTCTCCTTCCCGTCCCTCTTCCCTTTCTCCTTCTCTTCTGTGCAGTGAGTTCAGTGCTTAATCCCAAGGGTTTTTCCTTTGGTTACATTACATAAAGTGGAGGGCGTTGGTGAGACTTGAACCTCCTCTTTTTTATGTGGTGAGTTCAGTGCTTAATCCCAAAGGTTTTTTCTTTGGTCACATTACATAAAAGGGAGGGTGTTAGTGAGAGTTGAACCTTGCATCTGTGGGCAAGGTGGGGAAGACAACCACCGCCACGCCAGTCCTCTGTTGCTTGATCCCAAAGGTTTTAGTGGTCTTATTCTACTTTTTTTTGAAAAGTCTGCTTTACAAGTTGTCTCTACCAGATAAATGTGTGACTGGCAAGTGGTGTCATTTGAATAGTGAGCTTTTTTCTTTTGTAGCCTTGAAGAATAAACTTCAATAGATGTTGAAAAATCATATGGCAACTGGTAAAGAAAATGAGTTTCCTTTATTTCCTTAATCAGAGTCTAGTACCTTCCCTTGCCTGGGTGAGGTCTCTCTCGCTAAATTATTGTTACAGGGATTCTTTGTCGTTTTCCTCGTAAATTTGCTGAACCATGTTGGTACTTTTTATAATGGGAGCAATTCTACTTGAATTTAAAATGTTAATCCAATTGTTGTGGTTGATCAAATTAATAAATTATGTCTTCAAATAACATTTCCCGTGTGGTGGACCCGCACCTTTTGTCGGTGTAGTACCCGAGTAAATTATCTTCCAGTGGCTAACTTAGGATGAATTTGTAACGTTGGATGAGTTGTGACCAAACTGTAAACTATATGATTCATGGAATTTACAATGGAAAAATTCTTGTTACTTACAAGAGATTATTGAAGGAAATGGAGAGTTTGGTTCTGCATGGAAACGAAGTCCTTCAAAAACCAAAATGTTTTACAAAAGACCACTTAAAAAAAAAAAAAAAAAAAAAAGAAGCTAGTCAAATACCCAGAAAATAATTCTTGACTGTAAGTTTTGATTTGATTTATTTGTAGTCATTGACTATAGAAGTAATATAATAATATTAGATAAAATACAAAATAATAAAAAATTTCACATGTTATCTTATAATTAAATAAAAAATAAAATACAATGTTGATAAAATTCTTTTCTATAGTGAAGTCTAACCCAAATTTTGGTAAAGAAAGCGCAACATAACCTAAATAGAACCTAAAATTAAAACTCAAAGAGTAATATTATTGAAACATAATTTATTAACTTAATTTGTTGACTTAATTCACTATGATATTTGAATTTATTATAGATCCTATCACCTAAATCTCTTGAATGAGTGTTGGATGAGTAGATTTTACTGAAAAAAATTCATGTATTTATTCATTAAATAAATAATATATATTTAAATTATAATTTTTTTTGTTTCATTTGGGTTATAAAATTACTCTTTCGGTAAAAGCATTGCTTCTCAGCTCAGCGGCAAAAGCCTCAAGCCCAAAAGCTAGCTAAAGTATAGGGGGCACGAGGCTACCCAAGTAAGATTCGCAAACAAAATAGGCAGATCCTCCACTGTTATCCACTCAACATGGTAACCTGCTGGCTGTAGGTGAACAGAATGATCTATTATCTTTTTGAGAGTTCTCCAGGTCCTCCTAAGAAGCTACTTGCGTCACACTATCAAAATTAACTAATTTGTATAGTATTTGATTTTTTTTTTCAGACAATAGGTGGCGATAAATTTAGCGGTGGTCACCGCCCTTGGGTGGTGGTGGGTACGTTAAAGTTGTGAGTTCGAGTTTGACAACTCTCTTCTTGTAATTAGGTTTTTTCAATTGTGTTGGGTGAAGCAAATTTGTGTTGTGACTTAACGGATTATTGTCATAAAACACTTTACTCATACTCGATTCATTTATTAACTTATGTTTAACGAATCATGTCATATTTAGTTCGTCTTGTGTATAAATTATGTATAATTCGTATATAAACGAGTTATGTCATTTATTTATTTTTTGATTAGTTGGATTCATCCATTTACAACATAAGTGACTTAACAAAAACTTAAATTCTCTAATTTGGGTGTAATGTTTTGAAATTTCTATTTGTAATAGTGCTTGACGAAACAGGAAATAAGAAAAGGTGGTGCTCTATACTCTGATTACAAAAAGCCCCAAATCTATCTGGGCAGCCCAATTCAAATCTCTAGTTTGGCCCATTTCAGAGACAATAGCCTTTGTAGAGAGATGTTAATCTATCTTTTTTTTTACTTAATGGTCAGGCATATCTCAATTAGTATATACGTACTTCAATTAATTTTTTTTTTAATTTACTCAAAGGTAGGTCATTCATGTCGAAGTTAAGATATTAATGAGAGATAAATTTCTCATGATTGGACCTCAAAAGATTGTTAAAATTTAAACTCATGACGTCTGTGTTTATAACTTATTTCTAGTATCGTTTAAATTACATTGGGTTGAGAGATGTTAATTTTTCGCTATTATTATTAAGCACTACCCTAGTTTTGACCCAATGAATTTTTTTTCCATTGAGTAAACTCGTTGGTATCCACCTTGAAGGGTGAACAGTTTGATCATGGGCCACCACAGATCTAGGGAACACGACCTAAATTTGTTCTGGTGTGAAATGCCTTCAACTTTGTTTCGCTATATTATTATGTCATTGAATACTAATAAGTCAGTTGAATCGTTAAAGAGAAAGGGCTATTATTACATTTGTTGGTGTCAATAGAATGGAAAGGGCAATTATTACATTAGTTGGTGTCAATTGAGTGGACAGTCCAGAACGTAAATTATAGAAATGTGGCAGAATATTATAACTGTAGGGGAGATTTTTTGTAATGGATTGAGATAATAATTTTCACGATGATGAACTTGAAACAATTATAGGGTCATAAAATGGGTTGAGTGAACACCCGATTTATCTTCTTTGAAGCTTAAGTCTGCATAAGTTTGGAAGTTAGAGCACAATGTTTCTTTTTTCTCAATTAAGTCTTGCATACTTTTGTTCATTTTTCTGAAAAGTATTTATACCTGGATTAGTAATGAGTGTCAAAACTTGAAGTCTCATCTCAATATTTAATGACTTGCACTCTTACTCGTGAGCAATGAGTGTTCTCCACTCAAGTCCTCGTGCTTTTAATGCACGGGTGATAGAACAAGTGCTCGGGAGTCATGTCGAGCACTTAAGGCTATCCCCGGGTATTCAAGATCCTTTGATTGACGCCCAACATTTACCCTCGAGCATTCAATACTCGGGGCATAGTACCTTGAGGTACACCGAGGATATATGCTCAGTGCAACAACCATTAATATTTCTTAATCATGACTGCAAGTTGGTGTCTCGAGGACACAAGAGCTTATTAATAGTTTTGTCTCAGCCACTCTGCCATAAATGCGTTGTCTAGTCGTCTTAAATGATGGTGTTAATCTATGTACTCGGCTCCTCTGAACCATTTTTCCTCAGTGCCTTTTGGGTATCATAACAACTATATCTTTATACGTGTCTATTTGGGGGTTAACAGACTGTCTAGATTCCGGTCAATAATCCTATTCAAAGTTTAACCAAAGGAGTTTTAACTTGTCCTAGTACTTTTAATAACCCTATTCAAAGTTTAACCAAAGGAGTTTTAACATGTCCTAGTACTTTTAATATAACGGTTAATTACGTTCTCAACAATCTCTCATTACATATGATAAATGATTTATTATTGAATTAAATTAAAAAAAATTATTAGAGAGGATGAATTAGGAATTCTATTGATAGTACTATCATTTGGATTGTCAATAATGGAGATATTAAAGTGTCACTGTCATTTGTCTATCCATAATAAAACCCCTTCCATTGCCATTATACATTGAAGGTAGAGTTTAGCTCGAATCTCTTAAATTATTCATTTCCAATGGCTTTATCAAAGTAGACTTTTACTAACACAGCCCCGACGGTGTAATTCATCAGTCTTTCTTTGTACAGTAGCTGATTTTCTAGTAGAAGGAGGAAATTATTAAGCCAAAGCTGTCAGACTGACTAGCTAGCAAGCTGTAGGCACTGTTCGAATGAGGAAAGTTGTAGCATTGTGAACAGAAGAGATCTGTCCCCAGAAGTATAATATTGTTAAGTTTCGGGGTAAAGATTAGGGAAGTATTATATTTGAGCATTGTTTAAAAAGTGGTTATAAAATAAGAGTGCGATTATGACAAAATAATATGATTTAAGTAGGGATCAATCCTAAAATTTAACACCCAGTTTTTTTAGCAGGTAATATTAACGTTTTTCATGTACCAAGTTGTCTTTTTAAAGTTTAACAGCTTGGTGTTATAACCGATTGAAGCGTAACTTAACTATGAGCAATGTCACGTGCACTTAAAAAATAGATTTGATAATTTCAATCATTGACGTCACTCTGGATCCCAGCATTTATTAGGACCCATTATTTATTCAATGATTGAAATTATCAAATCTAATTTTTAAATTCATCTAACATTACTCATTAACTATTATTTACTTGTAAATTTTCATATGGAGAATTAATTGGCTACCATATAGTCTCGAGCAATGTTTACCCATATGCAAAGTACAGCAAAACCTATCATCCTCGGTCATGGCATTATAGATGCAGTATTCCTGTAATACCGTATATTAATTGGAGTTGTTCAATCAACTTGGAAGTTTTTGGGAGATTATCATTCTTATGGTATGATTACCAATCTGATTTTAGTCTTATTATTCACCGCGGTTGAGTTCTTTGACCGTCGAAATCACAACCAGTATAGTACATGTCCGTACACATGTGAACTCTCTCTCTCTCTCTCTCTCTGCCTGTTTCACTGGCGTAAAGGTCTCACAAAAAGCTCAACCCCCCAAAACCAAAAAAAAAAAAAAAGCACAAGTGTTTTGAGTCAGGACACACTGAGAAAAGAAGAGAATAGTTTCAAGATACCAAACAGAAATTCGTAAAGTTAGCAACGAAAACAGATCAAACCCACAAAACCAAATCTCAAAATAGCAAAATCAACAAAAACCCAGATGAAAAAAACCCATATTTAGAGCTCCAAATGAATATTCAAGAGAAGAAAAGGCATTTGTGATGATGATGAGATCAGAAGGAGGTTCAGGAAGTTCAAGGTGCCAAGACTGTGGAAACCATGCCAAGAGAGACTGTTTATACCTTCGCTGCAGGACTTGCTGTAAAAGCCGAGGGTTTCAGTGCCAAACCCACGTTCAAAGTACTTGGGTTCCTGTTTCTAGAAGACGTTCAAGGCATCTACAGCTTCCCAATATTCAACAACAGCACCACCCAGAAGCAAGCCCTAAGAGATTCAGACAGAATCCATCACCAGGTACTGTTACATACTCTGTGTTTGTATACATATATATATATATTGAGAGAGAGAGAGAGAGACTCAGATATTTTGCACCTTTGCGTGTGATAAATTAGACATGTACAGTAACTAGTAAGCTTGGGCACAAACCCTAGCTAGCAACTTTCTTTTCTTACAGTGTGCTTGCAATTAATTTTTTGTTTTTTGTGAATGTAGTGTGCTTGCAATTATTACTCTTGAAGATAAATATAATATAACAAAATCGCCGACATTTGTATATTTTTTGGCTAGCCTACAAACTATATGCGCACCAGCAGAACCTTTGGTGTAATTTTGATGATATTATATCTGTTTTTCACTGTTGGAGGCAGGGAAATTTCCGGCAGAGGGGAGTTTTCCGGCGGTGTTTCGATGCGTTCGAATGAGCTCCGGTGATGATGCAGTTGATCAGTTTGCGTATCAGACATCAGTGAACATAGCTGGACACATATTCAAGGGAATTCTTTACGATCAAGGTCCGGAGAGTCTCCACATCGCCAGAGAGAGCTCTTCAAGTGCCTTGCAGCAACCTAATTTCATCAATTCTGCTGCTTCTATTGGTACAGCCTCCCTTTCTTACCCTAATCCCTTTAATGCCCTTATGCCGGGTACTCCATTTTTGTCGTACCTAAAATAACTCAACTCAACTAAATCTTATTGTAATTATTTTTGAGTCAAATACACGTATCTCGTTTTGTTAATTTTATCTATCAATAATCGTATTTTCTACCAATCTAAAACTTATCATATATTTGTAATTTGTTTGATATCTCATCAAAAAATAGCCGACCAAGATCTTTAAGAGTTTTGTCTGATTTCTATTTTCCCTCTCTACATTGTACATCTGCACTATCAATGTTCTTTTAGTAATAGAATATCATTGCACAAGAAAGAAGGAGAAAGTAGAATGAGAGAGTAACGGTTGTTTTTTTCTCCTAATTCCAATGAAAAATCATTTGATCTTGTCTGTGATTTTAAAATGTTTGTGTGTAGCATATGGGTTTGCAGTTTGTCTTCTTGCTTATTTCTCTATTGCTTTCCTTGTTACTAGTTAATAAATTTGATTTTCTCTCTCTACTGCTTGTTTGTGAACTTCAAAGCCACTTCACTTTTCCCCCCGGAATTCCGTTTCTTTGCCGGATCGATCACTACATTGACATATGTTTCCATTTGGATAGACAGACAACCAATATAATGGTTTAACACTCGCACGTTAACCATTCAATTCCGACATTCTCTCTCTCTCTCTCCTTGAAATTAAATGATGCTCACTGATAACCTAGTTATATCAATTCCGTTTGATTGAGTTTTTTATGATTAATGGTAGATGAACTTAAAAATTAGACTTGATAATCTCAATCATTAAATAGGTAGTAGATCCCAATAGATGCTGAGACCTACAGTAAAATCAATGGTTGAGATTATCAAGTCTATTTTTTGAGTCTATGTAGCATTGCTCTTACTTTATACATGTTTTTAACTCATTAAAAAGTTCTATTTTTGGAGAAATGAATTCTACAAAAGCTTTCGCAATGCAGAAACTTTGTTTTAAAATTTCATTTTAGGGTTAATAGTATTTTTTATCAGTTTTGTTCTCATTATATCAATTTTGTCAATTTGATACCTAAAATATTTAATTTTTATCATTTTAGTCTTTACATAGACGAACCATTAAATTTTTAATAGAATGATCATGAGTTAGGCACGTGATACCGTCTAAAAAATGACACATGATCATTTCTGTCAAAAAATTTAACGGATTGTTTGATTAGGGACCAAAGTAACACTGATTGAATAATTTATGAATCAAATTAAAAAAATTGATACAATAAGAACTAAATTGACAATAAATACATTATGGACCAAAAATACTACTAACATTTTATTTGATGCATCTTGTAGTTAGCACTATCATCGATTGCAGCATTTAGGTTTTTATCAAAGATAAGCCATGAAGAGAATCAGTACTCTACTACTGCAAAGAACCTCAAAGATTAATATTTTATGTTCACTGTAGCAAAAAGTTTGGTTGGGGGCATCTTCTGATTTGTAGATGATAGTGCTTTAAGCGGAAAGCAATAATAAACCACATGTTAACCTTTTGGGTCCGGGATGATCTTGTTGAAAAGTAATTTTTGATATCACACTAAAATATAATTTTCAATCGTGTTTTTATTTTATTTGGAGTTTTGTAGCCATTGATATTGTAAGAAAAACATAAAGTGAAGCAATGAAATAATGAGGTTTTACTGTTGCCATTCTCTTGTGGGACAAAAAAAATGAGATACGGCACCCCAAAAAAAAAAGTATTCCGATAGCTTAGTGACACAGTAACCTTTTATGCTAAAGAGACATTCACACCAACCAAAGGAAAAGATTGATACCCCTCAATGACTCAACCCTGGAATATATACTTAGTACTTGAGAAGAAAGAAACGGGTACAAAAGTTATTATGCAGAGGTTCTATTCAGGGTGGATGCAATTGGAATCAAAGAGACTAAGAAATCCTCAGAGTGCATTCTCACTCACGCCTAGCTTTTTAGATGATCACTTTCATGTTCATTCCATATTAAAACCGCCCCATTTTTTTGTAGTATAAACATAAAACATTTTATGGAAGTGGTTTAAGCATTTTGTATTGGGAAAGGAGACCTGGGATGGGGCAAGCCAATCTAGCTTTATGCTAAACAGATAGTGATGTTTGTTTAAACAATACTGTGATTAAGAACTTTAACATGTGTATTATACTCGATCGAAAGCCTTGGGAAACATGCATGAAGAGATTTCTCAAATGGAATAATACTTAGGTATCTACCTATCTTGGAATTTTGTATGCTGTTATTAAGGAGGTGATGAGCCTCTCTGGTGATTGTCCTAATGTCCTAATAGTTATATATATATATATAGGACATGTGCATTAGCAATCTGTTATTGGAAGAGAATTCACAAGAAAGCCTCTATAAAGTATCATCTCTGCTATGTCAGTGAAAATGAAAAGAAACCCCACACTTCGTACATGTGATTTTTTTGGTAACAGAAGTTATTTCTGGTTGAAGATCACTTGTAGACAATCAAGAATGCATGAGCTAGCTAGCACTTTTGAGTTTAATGAATTTGCGAGGTTTCTTTTGAATTATAACTCGAAAGGGACAATGTGAAACACTCTTAATATGGACTAACAGTTGAATCGATCAGAGGCATCGCCTTGATATATGTAACTATTTTGAGCACAATCTCACCCTCCAAGATCAATTGCAACATGACCAACGAGACTCTTGCAGTATACCTCCATTGACAACGGGTCTAGAGAGATTCCTATATCGATGAGCTTATCATAAAATTCATTGGTTGGACTTTCATTGAGCCCGACAAAAAAAAACAATCTAAGTAGAACAAAATATAGCTGATATGCAAGTTTGCAGGTATAAGGGAATGTCTGTGGTTGGTCATGTATTGATCAGATGAAGGATGCTCATGGTGACAATTGTATTTGTATATGATCATTTTCATCGTCTCTGAAATGAAGATTATCCAAGTAATATTGCCTCTCCTCAAATTGTTTGGGTTGGCTATGGATAATATCTATGATCAGACCCATGAACTTTTGTAGATTCCATAATTTTTGTAGTAAATGCTGATTAACAGAAGCATTCCATAATTTATTGTATATTACAGTTCCTCAAAGACAATCATTGAGTGAAGTGAATAATCTTTGTATTAGTTGATCCAAGTCAGTACCTTTACTGCTAGGGGGGGCCTCAGCCTCCAAACCATACGTGAAACGAATATGTGTTTCATGTAGCTCGGGTCAAAGATTGGGATAAGTTTAATAAAGATAGGGGGGAAGTATATTTTTAATCATTAACTATAGTTTACATCAAAATTAAAAGTCAAAATGACCGATTGAGAAAGAGAAATGTTAAGATATTTTGATATGACAGTTCAATAAATGTGATTAGATGAAGGTTGATTTCCCATGTACCCGTCTTCAGAATTCTATTGAATCCTCACCTAACCAAAAGCAATTGGAGAAGAAACTTATGTAATACTTTTTTAGCAACTTTTTTCTAGCAACAAAGTAGTTTTGTCAAAAAAACGTTGTATATTTTAGTATATAGATAGTATACTTTTAACATGTGATTAAGATTAAAGGAAGAGATTAGGCCACAACAAGATGAAAAATAAAAAAAAATGAAAAAATAATTAAAAAGTAACAAAAGAAAAAAAAAAGTTTTACAAAGTGATAATTTAGAAGCCAATCGTGTCACATTTATAATATAAAACAAGACAAGATTTAATAAGTTCATCTGACGTTCTCAAATAGAATCGTCTAAAAATTATTAATATTCTCTCAAAATTATTCACATTGTATTATATCTTTAGGTACTGGTTACTCATAATTCATAGATAAAATTACGGTGGAACAATCAAGCCAACACTAATGTAATCGAAGTAGTGGATTAGATCAAAACTCTACAGATAAATATGTTTAGACGATAATAGTACTAAGACGAAGGACTCAAATGTTTAAAATTGTCAGAGCGGACTAAATAACAAGTATCAAGCTATATAAGAGCATCTCTAACAACAAAAGTTATTTGAGCTACTAAAAACGCAAAAATTTCTATTTTAGATACTTATTTTTTCAAGACACACTATAACATATTTTTTATATTTTTAACTACTCTTTTTAAATATTATTTCTTATTTTTTTTGTATTATTTTTTTTGGAAATAGTGAAAGGGAGAAATAGATAGAAAATATTATAAAAAAAAAGTTTACATATCGCTACAGTGATATTTTAAATATAGAGTATCATTGTAGTAAAATGTTATTTTAGATGTTTTGAAGATAATTTGTTAGAATGAAATTTTTGGGCTAAATAACTAAAATTTAAATATTTTATATATTTTAGATCATCCGTCGGAAATGCTCTAGTTTATGATACATGAGTTTATGCATTGGCAAATCTAAGCAAACTAAACGAGATCCCAAAAACAAATAGAAGGCCTAAGCCCAAAAGAATCATTGGAAAACGTCCACAATCTTAGCTATCTGGATTATTCCTGCAGCCCAAAACTAGGCAAGACAAGCTCAATTTTGCATCTATAGTCTTCTCTGCAGTGCGGATCTAACCCAATGATCTTGATGGGCCAGATTTGTATTCATAAGCCGAGTCAGTAAGCCCAATAGCAGATCAGAAGCCCAATTTTCGATCCGTATTAAGAAGCCCAGTTAACAAGCCCATAATAGCCCAGTAGCAGAACAACAAGCATCATCGCAACCGAGATTGGCGGCTGAAAGTACCAAGTGTTTCCCGCCAAAAACTAACTTATCCAACAATCTCTGTTCTCTCCCTGTCCCTCTCTCTCTCTCTCTCTCTCTCTCACATGCATGTCTGGGCGGCCCCATCTCTCCTTCTGTAGAGTTCAAAATACGAACGGAGCAAGCCACGCATCCGAATATTATGGTGAGTGTTGAAAATTGTGTTGTGCCATCTTCTGCTCTGCAATGTTATGTGGATCCAAATGGAGCACTTAACATGCAACCAAACTCATCACATTCTGACTTAAAAATGTGACATCAATCTTAGATATGAATGGAAGATGAGAGACATGAGAGTTTGTCGAGTCATACAAACTATGGCCACTTTGATTTATGTTTCAAAAAATAGTAATCGAAAATAATTTTTTAGAAGAGTTTTAATAAGGTGATTTTGATATTTTTTGAGATAAAAAACTTGTTTGATTAGATGATTTCAAAAACAATTTTACAATATAGAAAATAGTAAAACCTGTTTGGACAGTCTAAATATATATTTGAACAATAATTCAAACATTAATAAAAAAATATAATTTTTTTTTATATGGACAATTTCATAATATATATATATATATAAATCTATATTTGAAGATTCAAAATTGTTCTTCTTATTTTCAAATTTTTCAAAGAAAACTCTGAAAACAAATTACACTTGTTTTCTATTTCTTTGACTCAAATTTCATTTTTTTTCTTAAAATTTAAAAAAAAAAAATGTTAAACAAACAAGTTTTGAGAATTTTAAAAATTTTAAAAATAAAAAACTGTTTTCAAAACACAAACCAAACATACAAAGGCTCGCAAATGATAAATCGCAGAGGATTTTTGGTCCCATATAATCTCAACGATGGCTTGAGTATCTTGCTCTAAGCCATGCAATTATGCACATGACTCGCAACCCAATATGAAGATTGAGAATTAAGTTTAATTTTAACAAGTTCAGATAGTTAATGGTTTAACATATCAATTTCATCAAGTAAATAAGTTAACATAAAATTGGCTTAACATGACTCGAATCTCGTCAAGACACAATCTTTGACATTGACAAGAGCTCTAACTTTCTGTGTGCCCTTGCATATGTACAAGTAGGAGATTTTATTTGAATACATTTCCTTCGCCCCCCCCCCCCCCCCTCCATACTTTCTAAAAATTAGTGTAGCGGTCCTGCTCTTTTATTTTTAGAAAATTCATGGTACACTAACCTTCAAAACCAAATATTTTATAGTTGAAACCATTAAAAAAATGTCAAAAGATATGACTTGTATAAATATTGATTATATAGTTGCCTTCAACCTTTTTTTCGTTAGTTTATAGAGCGTAACCCCATAAAATAAGATTAAAGGTAAAAAGTAATATGCGTTAACCCAAATTTATTTTTCACTATTTCAAATATTTAATTTCTCAATAAGATGAGTATGAGGTCAACTAATTTTGCCACAAAAATAAATGATAATCTCATCACATACTCTATAATTGTGTTACATTTGAAATAAATTAACAAGAAGTTTAGCTTAATATTAATGAATTATATTTTTTTTACATGTATTATATTTTTATTATTTTAAAAATAAATATATGGTACTAAAAAATTAAGTTTTGATATAGTAATGGTGCATAGATATAGGGGGACTCATTAACTTTCTCGGAATTTGCACCCCATTACTTCCGTTAAGACTTAACACCTCAATTGAAAATGTTCAATTGTCTGGTATCTTAGAACAACTTCAAGAGGCTCAATAAACTGAACTTGTTAGCTGTTTTACATGGCCAGGCCACATAAATTAACTCCCACAGACCAGCTATTAGACTCTATATTTTCCGTAGCCTTCATTTGGTTGGCTATATCTAGTTAGGCAAAGCTGTTCGGTAGTCTACTTTTTGCGCCAACAATCTGCTCCACCGATTGAATGCTCCAGCATGTATATGCCTCCTTTTCCCATGTTCCCTCTTCTCTTCTCCTCTCTTCACCCTCCCCTCTCAACAATCTGAACTATTTTCTGCCTCTCCTCTTTGTTTCTGTGAAGCAAAGGACCTCAGTGAAGCCATAAGCATCCTGAAATCCCTTACTGCCATCTGAAACCTAAATTCCAAATCAATCGATTAAACTCGAAGCCTTCAGACAGAGCATTCTCTTTTTCTCAGACCATAGATCGAACTCGGAGCCTTCAGAGCTGCTTCAGAATCGAAGGCACAAGCCACAAACCTTCAGAGCTACTTCAGGTACAAACTCTCTCTCCCTTTGTGCTATGTATATATATCGGTGTATGCGTGTATGTAAATATACAAGGTCTAATTTACTTGCGTTATGGCAATGATTTACCTAATTATGTTCCCTTTGGTTTCTAAGAAAATGTGAGGATGAAGACGACGAAGACACTGAGAGCAATCACCAATATGTGCCTGTTGGACTGATTCAGACGATGAAGACGAAGGTCAAGAAAAAATCCAAAATCCAACAAACCCCTCCAAAATCCAATAAAATCCCTCTAAAAATTTAGCAAACTTCCTCAAAATCCAGCAAAGCCCCCAAGTATTTTATGATATTTACTCTTGTAATGCATCTTTTATAATATTTATTCTTGTAACTTATAATTGATTAAATTTATACAATATATAGTTGAATTGTTATTTTTTAAATTTTATTATTGATAGTTAGTTAAAGTTAGTTGAAGTGGTTAGTTAAAATAGATAGCGTTGTTGAAGTGAATTTAAAAAAATAATTAATTAAAATAGATAATATAATATTTAAATATATTTTAAATAATTATTTTAAATAGCGCCGTTAAAGTTGCTTTTACGAGGTAAGAAATTGATGATTGGATGCACACACCACATGTGACAGTCCACGTGGCGTGTAGTGCACCTGAAAAATTTTCTCCACACGCGCCGTCACACACACACATTGGACTACTTTTTCACTCTCTTACTCCGCAATTCTTATTGGGGTGGAAAAATTAAAAATATTTATTTTCACCCTATTAAACTTTTTATAATCAAACTATTAACTTCATCATTTTTATACCCACCACCCCGTTAACAACTAATTCCACCCAATACTATCCACACCCCTTTAATAACAAGTCCATCTTATTTCTTCTCAAAACTAGGGTTTTATTCACTATTTCCTCTTATATATCCTATATACAAGAGTTTTTTTAATATAAATTTTTCTAATGAGATACATGTTAGTATTATTTATCGGTTTAATATTTTGTTTGATTTCATATGTGCTGTGATTTCATATTTGATTACGATAAGCCTAATTATTTTTGATTTAGAATTTGTGTGTGTGTATATATATCTATACAATAAAACAAAAGAGGCTTTGAATTTTATACTCCTTATATTTTCCCTCCCCCAAACTTATCAGTTCTCACACACTCTACCACCAATATCATTACCATTGTTAGACAACACAGGCGGCAACACAGGCATGACCACTTTTCCAAATTCATGCCTTCCGTTTTTTCTTTTAGCTTTCTCTTTACTTCAAACGTCTCTTTGTCTGTCTCTATTACCACCATCAAAGTCATAGCCACTGAGTTCATTGTAGCCACCACTACAGTCACAATCACCACCACCGAGTTCGCTATAGCCACAACCACTGTCATTGTCGGGTATTCCCCCCATTCCTCTTCTGCGCAAAGACTCAACAACCCAACAGACCCCCACCCTTCTTCCCCTCTGTGCGCAAACACCCTTCCCCTCATTCCTCTTTTGTGCAAAACACCCTCCACCTTTCTTTGCTTGTTGAACCCACCCACAAAAACCCAGCAGAACACACCCTCTCCTCTTATACCCCCTCTGCACAAACCACCCCATACACACACACACACAAACACAACACACACGCACAAAAAACCCATCTAGCAAAGCAACACTGTCACCGCCATAGCACCACTGTCAAGACCACACAACACTCTCCATCCCCTTCCTTCCCCTCTCTCTATTTCTCACTAAAATGTTTGCAGAGATGCTCAAAACCCAGATCCCAATCATAATGCCCATGACGTGTTTGTTGAAATGCCTAAGGTGGATTTATCTATTCATTTGATTTTTCACTAATTGTTCATTTCTCTAATTTTGAATTTCCTGTCCATGTTTTTCAATTTCATTTTTAATTGTTCATCTATCTAATTTCATTTTTTAATTTCCTAATTTTTAATTGCTTCAACTAAGTCTCTTGGCAGACTTTGAAAAAAATAAAAATTTAATTTTTATTTGAATTAAAAAATAATAATTTATTTGAAAAAATAAATTTAATTAGAGTATTTTTATGTTTTTATTTGAAAAAAATAAAATTTTAATTTTTTTTAAAAAAAATCGTAATTAGTATACAATTATACTATATTATTAGAATTTAATAGTATAATTGTATACTAATTACGATTTTTTTAAGAAAAAAATAAATTTTTATTTTTAATTTTATTTCAATAAATGATATAATAGAACATAAATATTAGTTATAAAATTTAAAATATTTGATATTTTATATTTGATTAGAGTATTTTTGGTTTAAAAATAATATTTTAAATTTAAAAGATCTAATTATTATATATTCATAAACTTTAGAGGAGTCTAAGTGTAATTTATTAATGGATATATTTACAATGGTCTAAGTGTTATATGTGTATAAACTTCAGGGGATCTGTCTGTAATATTTAAAATGTCAAGAGGTCTGAGTGATTAAGTGACAAACTTCAAGAAATCTGGGTGTAATTCTCCTTTTATTTTTTTTGAGAGAGTAATGTGGTAAAATTAATCATTTAGGGTAAATTAAAATTTTTTATATCTTCCTAGGGGCAAAATAATATTTTTCCAATAAAAAATCACGCCTAACGCTTATAATATTCCACAAGATTTACTTTCCAAATTCACAGATATTCTCCCATTTCTAAATTAGAACGTGACGCCCAACAAACAGACTCTCTCTCTCCCTCACTCTCACACACATTAATAAACGTATAAATACGCGCAGTGGTATACAATGTTTTGTTGCGGAATAGCGGTGGTGGCAAAGGCGAAACCTTCGTTTATCAGAGCGGAACAACCTTTGGTTCCTGACCTCTCCACCGAGCGTGGCGTATACGGCGGTGGAGCCCCCATTCGCCGTCGCGACATCGTTTTTGTCGTCAATCCCCGAGGTTTTAAGAACGCAGTCTCTCTCCCTCTCTCTCTCTAAATGTGTGTGTGTGTCTGTTTGTTTTGAGTCTTTTTATATTGTGGATTGAAATTGGCTCAGGTGCTAATAGACGTACTGGGAAAGAATTGAAGAAACTGGTACGGTGTCTCAGGTATAGCCTCGGGCTGATTGCAATGTGAGTCCTATCTGAATTGTTATTTATTTCAATTCGTCACTATTTGTTCTTTATTTTTTCAAACAGCAGCATGTTCAATATTCTAAGGTTTTCTCTAAATTATACACATTGAAGTATAAATATAATGATTATACAGAAGGAAATATACTAGACAACAATGATTTTAATTCAACGTGAGAATTTAGTCAAAAGGTTTTATTGCCAGGCTTGCATCTAGCTTTAACCCTGTGTTTCTCATTTGCTTCGTTGAACTGTTTGGCTGATCCAAATAAATACCAAAATTGAACTCTGGCTTGTGCATATCCATAAGTAGGTTTGTGTTCCCCTTTCTGGTACCCATAATGGATTGTTAAAGGTCACCGATTACAGATATCAGAGAGGCTAGTCTTTTTTTTTTTTTTTGGTCAGGTCAGAGAGGCTAGTCAAAGAATGACAAAATTCACCTGTTTCGAAGGCATCATATTATTGATTATTTGGAACAGTGCTAGTGCTATGGCATGCTTAATCTCAAGTGGTTTCTCATCCTGCCTTTCTGTTTTGGGGTTCTTGTTACAATTTATTTTCTATCCTTCTGTGGATATGTTTGTTTACTTTCAGATTGAACTAACTAGCCAAGAATGTTATACATCACACACACACACACACACACACACACACGTGCATCGTCAAGTTCCGATTCTTTGCCAGCCAATGTCCATGGAGGTAACTTTCTCTCTCTCTCTCTCTCTCTCTCTCACAGACAGACACACGCAACCTACAGTCATGCAAAAGTATATCTTAATCTGTTTAATTTGTGCATGTTTAGCTCAATTTTTGCTGTACCTTCACATGGTGGCAAAAAATTAAAATTTTTAAAATTTGGTATGCACATCTTTTAACCATATAATTCTACTATTTAATGCAGTGAAATGTGGAATTATCCAGGATAAGTTGAAGGATTTCTACTAATCTATTTGGAGCAGTCTCAGCATGCAGAAAGGGAGGATTTAGAATGCCCAGGTTCTTGATTTTTTGTTTTATTTTGTGATGGAACGGTTATTGCAATGTTTTGATCTTTTTCATGAATCATAACTTTTGAATTGATATGATGGTAGTCTTCTTAGGTAATGGTCCCAAAGGTTGAACCAACTTTAACTTGGTACTCTTTTAAGCCGAAAGTGTTATTTTACTTTGTCTACATGGTTGTGCTTTAGTTTTTCTTCTAGTAATCATTTAAGGCATAAAACTACTCAATTTCCAACTACTTGGTTACAATATTTTATGTCTTAAATTTTTGTGCCATAACTCAATGTGGCAATTACTTTAATTTTTGTCTCAATTACTTGCTTACAGTATTTTATTTCTTAAATTTTTTGTGCTATAACTCGGTATGTAATATTGCCTATTGAGTACAGTACCTTAAAGATAGTGGAGAAAAGATCAACCTATTGCAATTTGGGAGGCTCATAAAATAGCAATCCAAGTGGTTGCTTCTGAGAGGTTTAGATTTTTCTTTGAATATTGTATGGTATTGATTTTGTGGTTTGATTTTGTTAGCATTTTCTTTTCTTCTCTTTTCTTGAAGTTCTTAATTATCATCCCTAGTTTCCATCCTTTACTTAAGATTTTTTACAGTCATTGAACTATAAAGACATTGATATTGAAACTTGAAGATCCTACACCATGATGCTTTGGATACGAATGAACAATATCGATTTTTTTTTTTATGGTAATTTAGGATCAAGTGACACCACTCTACACATACATTTGAAGAGCATATAGGTCGGCTTCTTGCATGTCTACATGACTATTCCTTTTGAATATCTTTGAGTAGATGTTCTAGTTTTTATTTTTAAATATTAATAATGTGTTTTTTTAATAATTATGGTAGTTGTTTGAAAGTTTTCATTGGTGGTAAAAAACTTGATTTAATTATCGAATTCTAGATGATGTTTAAATTGACAAGTTATGTGAAAAGGACACACTAGTTTTCAGACCCTAATTGACTTGGGTGCAGAAATGGACGTGTCTTGGTGGTATCTTGCACCACGACACCCCATGAATTCAAAACAAGGCGATGTAGCTAAGGTTTTCGAAAAAAGGCCAGGCACTATGGCTCAGGCTCTCATTGTTATGTTTTCTCGGTTCAGAACTCAAGTCGCTTTGGAAAAGCTCCATAAGGCATATATAGGGGGTGGAGATAGTTGAGGGGCACCAAGGGTCCGGCTAGCCTTGTGTCCTTAAGCCTTGGCATCGTTGGGCAAAACATAAGTGTCTTTGTGTTTCTTTGGTATATTATTGTACGGGTGTGTTTCTTTGGTGTATTAGTTGATGGGTGTGTTTCTTTGGTGTATTAGTTGACGGGTGTGTTTCTTTGGTGTATTAGTGCACGGGCGTGTTTCTTTGGTGTTTTAGTTTGTGTGAATAGATTGAATGTTTTGGAGTTTTTTTTTTTTGGTGTATTAGTGTGAATGTATTAGTTTGTGTTTCTTTAATAGTGTGTTTTATTGTGTTTATTTGTTTAGTGTATGAGTATGTGTGTTTTTTTGGTATATTAGTGTGTGTTACCACGGTGTGTGGGTGTGCAATTATATGCTGATTAGTGGGGGTGTGTGCGTTTTGGTTTATTAATGTGTGTTTTGTAGTGTATTTGTGTTTGTGTAATAGCGTGTGTATTATTGTATATTAGTGTTTGTATTTTTGGTGGATTAGCTTTTTTTAACACTACATGTGATGGAATGTATGCATTTTTGTGAGTGTGTGTATGTGTTTAGGTGTATCAATGTGTGTATTTTTTTGTATGTTTTGAATGGTGTATTAGTAGGCGTTTGTGATCTGGGATGTTGTATTAATGTGCGTGTTTATGTTGTGTTTGTGTTATAGTATGTGTGTTTTGGTAAATTGGTGTCTATGTTTTTTGATGCATTATGTGTGTTTTTTGGTGTATTAGTGTTTGTTAACACAATGTGTGTGGTGTGTATGTAATAGTGTGTGTATATGTGCTTGTTTGACTGATGGTGTACGCACACGTGTGTGTTTGTGTAATAGTGTGTGTATGTGTATGCTTGCTTTTGGTGTGTTAGTGTGCATATTTTTTGGTGTATTAGTGTGCATATTTTTGGGTGTGTTAATTTGCATATTTTTTGGTGTATTATTGTGTAAGCTTTTTCCTTACTTCTCTTCTCTTTTTTGTCTTGAACCTTGAAGTTCTTAATTATCTTCTTTATGATCTCTCAATGATGCGATAGAAATATAATTTGGTCTTTTCTGTAATTGGTCTATCGGTCATCATTTAAGGTACATGACTCATTTATTGCCAATTACTTTCATATAGTTTTTTGTTCCATAAAATTTTTATACCATTTAACTGTTTGTGTCACGAGGTTAGATATTTCCTATTGATTGCATTACATTAAGATGGTGGAGGAGAGACCAACATGTTGAACTTTCGGAGGTTTACAAGGTTGTAATTTAAGCAATTATGAAGTAACCATCAGGCGACCTTTTTATAAATGAACATTATTTTGATTGATTTGAGGTATGATTGTGTAAGCATTTTCCTTACTTTTCTTGTCTTTTTTGTCTTAAACCTTGAA